AAGTGAAAATAGACGGCTAATTACCAAAATCTTCGAGGAATAATATCCTCGGAAGAGAACATAACACTCGCTGATCACGCCACTGTTGCCACGTCTTTAAAATTGAACCGTAATTTCCCTACTACAATGTCACAAAGAAATACAAGATCTCAAAGTCGCATTCAAAGCCAAATCCATGCGGAAAATCTGAATTATACAATACCTACAGGAAAATCAGTTAACACTGGCTATACGAGTGAAGAGGATGACAGATATCAAAAACTTCTGAAAGAGATAGAGAGCCTGAAAAATGCACTTGAGGAAAAAGAAAGAATAGAAGAAGATTCGCTGAGCCAATTTCAACAAGAAACTTTGATTTTGAGAAAAGAAAATGATGAAAACGAGAACTTCATAATTCAATTAAAAAGACGAAGTCAGGATTTTGTAGACGAAGTATGTGAAGCAGAGCAAAACTTCGCTAGAGATAATCAAAGACTACACCAAACAATTGTGGAACTGAACGAAGAAATTAACAACTTGAAGGCAGACAATCAATTGTTACTGGAAAGATATAATGAAAATGAATCAAGACTAATAGACATGGAAGTGAGTATAACAGCACTGAGCACTTTGAAAGAGAATATGCTGACTTCAATAGAGGTTCTCACCCAAGAAAATGAGTTGTATGCTAGACAGATAAGGGAAATGAAAAAATCAAAGTATTCAGCTGCTAATACAACATTACCAGCTACCTACGAAGAAGAAGGAATGCAAACAGATACTGCTCCAGTTAAACAGACAATTACCGAATCAAAGAAGAAGAGTAGTTTCAAGGGAGACAGAGCAAAGAAGAAGACTGAGAGATCCAGTCTACCAGAATTTGACGTACACGTGATGGAGAACAGTACAACCCTGAATTATGCTGGAACAACCGCCAACACCAACATGAACCATGAAGCCCCCATTTTCCATGGAGAAGTTGCTGAGGAGTTAGGAAGAAGGAACTGTTCCCAGAGAAATCAGGTAGATACGTACATTGCCAACCAGAATACAGATATAGCAACAACAGAACCTACGATAGAATCGGCTATGAAATGCCTGCCTCGAACCCAAAGAAAAATATTCATCTATGGTGATGAATATGCAACTGGTTTTTCCAAAGTACTGGGAAAAATTGTTAATGATTCTGGAGTTATTATAACTGAAAAAATTTGTCATAATGTTGAGCTGTCTATGTTAACAAAAGATCTTTTCCAGGAAACTGTAAGCTATGGACATGATGATATAGTGATGATCATGTTCAACACAAGTAGTATTAGCAATCACAATTCACTGCACTCAGCACTCAAACACATTCTAGGTATTAGCAAAACTACAAATGTTTTCATAATACCCGAGTGCAACTCGAACCCGGATAAAAAAATGAAACACTATGATATATACTAGGATAAAGTCTTTCAGAGTCATTAATAAGAACTGTTCTATATCATTTCTAGTTGACAAGAAACAGAAGGGCAGTAAAACTGAAGTACTTGAAAATATCAAGAAATCTCTAGAGTACCTGAAAAGGACTCATAATATTGTCCTAAAAAATGTGCAAATCATCCAAAATGATTTTCCTTTTTTAGACACAGTTCAAGTAAGGCAAACTGCAAAAGAGTAGCCCCTGATAGGTCGATTGAACTTAATTGTAGTAAACACGCTACTGATAATGTAGATCTGCTTTTACTCAACATTCAATCAGTACGTAACAAAACAAATGAACTTTTTGTATTTCTAGAGAGCCAGGCATTTCCAAGCATTGTTTTACTCACTGAACACTGGTTGAAACCAAATGAACCATTATATATTCCTAATTATTCAGTAGTGTCTAATTACTGTAGGGAAAACTATAATCATGGTGGAACGCTAATCCTACTTAATGATAATATAGCAGATAATTTGTTATTCATTGAAATTGATAGATATAATATGCTCCTGGTGGAAAAACAATTTGAATTTTCTCTCATATTCAACAAGAAAATCAACCTGTATATAATATGTATTTATAGACCACCATCTTGTGATGTACAAGTTTTTGTAGAAAGGCTAGAATTACTATTGTCTCAGCTACCACTCAACTCAAATATCGTACTCGCAGGAGATTTTAATATGGACTTCAAAACTGACTACTCGGTTGGTAAACAAACGCTAACCTGTATGCTCACTGGATTCAATATGTCTATGCATGTAAATTCACCTACGCGGATTACAAACAAGTCAGCCACTATAATAGACCTTGTTTGTTCAAACCTAATTGAAGAAAACATCTCATGTTCAGTATCCCCTGCAGGCTTATCTGACCATGAAGCAGTGTCATTCAATATGTCATTCAAAACTAAGAAGTCACATAAGAAATTCAGGCATGGTAGAATCTACAGTGGCAAAAATTATGATAGATTTAGAGAACTTTGTGAACAGGTCAACTGGGAAACCATTTCAAATTGCAACCAGCAACTCGATATTTTTCACAAAAATCTGATAGAAATTTTCAATAAAGCCTTCCCCTTGAAACCACTGAAAGTAAAAAATAAAAAACCCTGGATAACCAAAGGCATCAAGACCTCAGCTAACAACTTACGCTCATTACATCACATCAGAAAGTACAACATGTCCAACACATTTTTCACTGCCTATTTCTATAAATTTCGTAGCATCTATAGACAAATTATAAAAAGAGCAAAAGAAAATTACTATGAGGTTAGACTCGACAATTCAAAAAACAAGCCAAGAGAAAATTGGGCCATAGTAAATGAACTCAGAGGTAAAAATACCAAGAATTGTGCGAAGATTGAAGTGAGTCCTAATGATCTGAATGAGTATTATTGTACCATTGGTCCAAAATTAACCTCGACCATCAGTCCTAAGAAAGATCCTATGTTTTTTCTCGAGAAAGTCAATTTGTCTGGTGAATTTTACTTATCGCCCATAAATAAAGAGGAGCTGAAAGAAACTATAAGTGAAATAAAAAACAAAAAATCATCTGGTATCGATAATCTATCTGCCAAGATTCTAGAAAATCTGCCTGAAAATACTTTAACTGCTTTGGTCCACGCAATAAATGAATCCTTCTCGACTGGAGTATTTCCTTCCTGCTTAAAAGCTTCTGTAGTTATTCCAATTCACAAAGGCGGTGACTTAGATGATCCGTCAAATTTCCGACCGATCTCTTTGCTGTCCACCTTATCGAAAGTTATTGAAAAATTATTTAAAAAGCGACTATTGACATTTCTGAAACATCAACATATTTTAGACAGAAATCAGTTTGGCTTTCAAAGAAACAAAAATACTAACGATGCCATTTTCTCCTTCTTAGAAAAGGTATATCTTCACTTGAATACAAATGAAGCTGTAGCAGCAGTCTTTTGTGATTTTTCTAAAGCATTCGACTGCGTAAATCACAAAATACTGCTGCAAAAGCTATTCCGTTATGGTTTCAGAGGAAATTCCTACAATTGGCTGCAGTCTTATCTCACAGGTCGTAATCAGATTGTAAGGACATGTGGAGAATCTTCAGAATTCGGTGAAATTTGTTGTGGTGTACCACAAGGATCTGTGCTGGGCCCAATTCTCTTCTTGTTATACATAAATGATATAACTTCCATCAACATAAGTGGATCATTTACGCTCTTCGCTGACGACACAACACTCCTATGGAATAGCCATAATGTCGATGAATTAACTGGGACTGTTCGTGATGATCTGCTAAGAGTTAAAGAATGGTGCGACTGTAACCTGCTCTCACTGAACCTATCTAAAACTAATATTATGACATTCAAATATTCTATAGATAATCTTTTACTGTGTCCACAGGTTATTATCGAAAGTAAATCTAACTGTAAATTTCTTGGGCTACATATTGATGACAGATTGAAATTTGATAGCCATGTGATAAACCTGAGTAAAAAACTAGCATCGGGATGCTTCGCTGTTAGAGTAGTTGCAAATGAGTTAGGTGTTGCTGTTGCAAGAATGGTATATTTTGCGCTGGTGGAATCGCATTTACGGTATGGGGTCACTTTCTGGGGAGTTTGTAACCAGCAATTATTTAATTCTATATTCGTACTACAAAAAAGGGCTATACGATACATGTGTAAAGGAAAATTTCGCGATCACTGCAAGCCCTTGTTTCAGGCTCATAACATTCTCACATTACCATCTATCTTCATCCACGAAACTGTTTGTCTGATACACAAAAAATATTCTGAAATCGTAAGCACTGAAGCACGTTATAACACCAGGAATACATCCCACTTGAACCTGCCTATCCCAAATTCTAATCTCACGAAGCATTCGATCATCTACAATAGCAGCAAGATGTATAACCATTTACCATTAGCCATAAGAACTATTCCTCTACTCAGTAAATTCAGACAGGCTGTGAAAGAAATATTAATGAAAAAAGCATATTATAATCTCCAGGAATTCTTCAACGATAACGATCTTAACTGAGAGTACGCGATAGTTTTTAAATTGATGAGACATCTTGATTCAAGTCTTGATTTTATGTATATATAGATTTAGATAGATATATTATAATTATACATATGTTTTATTTGACCATATACATTGTTGTGATATATTATTTTAATTATGTTTGTATTAATTTTATGTTTATATGTGTGTTTCTTTACTTCACACTGTCTTTATCTTTCGTGACGTGTCTTATTTATTATAAGACTCTAAATGAATATGTATGAATTATCTTTGTCGATAAGAAATTTTTTCTTTGACAATAAAGTATATTTTTGATTGATTGATTTGATTGATTGATTGATTAACCCGTCGAGTTGAGACTTTTCACCCGTTCGTGATCACTTTGGAGACCTGCAGAACATCTCTTTCCAAATACTCGTTCATCCAACGAACAGCGAGGCTCTGGTACACAAGTGCACCAATTCCTACCAGAACATAAAAAAATAGACTAACAAAAATTCTCAAACTAGTCGATGTTTCAAATTGATGAAAAATCTCAAACTCAGGTTGATGACCGCCCAACATAACGCGGCGATCAATTCCAAACCGCAAGAAATCATCGCCCTCCAAAGGAGGACCATCCCGGGGCCGAACGGCGACATCATGAAGCACCAGGGGGTTCCCCAACCGCCGATGACACCCAACAGCGAACCGCCGAAGTTGCAGTACTGCCCGAAGCAGTCGCTGCCGCTACAGCACAGGCCCGGCCCGTTTTACGGGCACAACCCGAATCTGAAACGTAAGTCATAATGTATTTATTTATTTATTTATTTATTTATTTATTTATTTATTTATTTATTTATTTATTTATTTATTTATTCATTTATTTATTTATTTATTTATTTATTTATTTATTTATTTATTTATTTATTTATTTATTTATTTATTTATTTATTTATTTATTTATTTATTTATTTATTTATTTATTTATTTATTTATTTATTTATTTATGTATTTATTTATTTATTTATTTATTTATTTATTTATTTATTTATTTATTTATTCTGGTATAAGGAAGTACATAAGTATATACCTATAGGTAAAAATATCATCATTCAAAATATATCAACAACTATAAATTGGCAATCAAGGAATAATATTTGTGAAAAAAAGGCATGATTAATTTTATCCAGTTCGCTCAGAAATAATCAGTTTTTTTACTTCATTTTTGAATGTACAGGGTGATTCACCATAAATGACCCCTCCCTCTAGCTCAGTTATTTTTGTACAGATTTCAAAATTTGAAATATCATCTGAAATGATTTTCGATAAAGTTTTTTTCCGCTACATCAAAAAATACAGGGTGCTCGGAACAAATGATCTACAGGGTACTATTTGATTTTTTTTAATGGAACATCCTATTTTTCATTGTATTTTTAGATTCTCCATGAAGAGCTGATTTGATCAATGCATCACACTTGGGGTCTAGCGAGAATGATTACAGAGATATAGGGTGTTCAAAATCGAGATTTTTTCTTTACTTTAGAATTTTTTTGTAACGAAACTGTTCATTATCGGTCAAAACGGCTTTCATGTCCGTATCTTAACTTTTGATTTACTATCTACTGACATTTAATGATTGGAACAGATACAGGGTGATCAGAATTCTGAATCTTGAACCACCCTGTAAATGTTCCAATTAAATGTCAGTAGATAGTAAATCAGAAGTTGAGATGGGGACATAGAAGCCGTTTTGACCAATAATGAATAGTTTCGACACAAAAAAATCTTGAAGTTGAAAGATCTCGATTTTGAACACCCTATATTTCTGTAATCATTTCCGGTAGACCCCAAGTGTGATATTTCGATGAAATCAGCTCTTCAGGAAGAATCTAAAAATACAATGAAATACAGGGTGTTCCATTAGAAAAAATCAAGTAGTACTCTGTAGATTGTTTGTTTCGAGCACCCTGTATTTTCTGATGCAACGGGGAAAAAATTTCTGAAAAATCATTTCAGATTATTTTTCAAATTCTAAAATCGGTTCAAAAATGAGTGAGCTAGAGGGGGGGGACATTTATGGTGAATCACCCTGTACCTATATTTCTGTATTTTTTTATATTGCCAAGTAGTTTATTGAATTCAGTTAAAGCTGAATGAGTGAATCTTTTTTGTCAGATTATGGAGCTAGCGGCGTCAAGATGAAACAAGTTATATTGTCTAGTTTCATGATTGCGAAGTTCAAAATTCCGTATCAAAATAATATTCGACTTCAATTTTTTATTTATGATATTATATTATATTTTAAGAGTTCCAATTCTATATATTTCATCTACAGAATACCTATTTGTTATTTCATACAATTGATTGGTTGGTGTGTCAAATGGCAGACGATACAATACTTTTAACGATTTTCTATATAATGTTGATATTTTATTGAAATTATTTTTTGAACAAGATCCCCAAACATTTAATTAATATTTGATACGACTCAGTATATGAGAGTAGAGAATCATGTTTGCAATTTTAATATCAAGTTTGGAACATCTTCTCAATGTACCAATAATTGGAGATATTTTTTTTGTCAGAACATCAATATGTTTGTCCTACTTCAACCTGTCATCAAACCAAATACCAAGATATTTTATCTGGTCAGTTTGTTTCAAGAGTTCATTTTTTATTTTAAGGTTGAAGTAAATTTTTTGTTTATTTTCTTGGTGAAAAATCATATATTCTGTTTTGTTAGTATTTATCGATAAAAGGTTAGAGTGGAGCCATTTTTCAAATATTTTATCATATTTCCTAAATTTGAAGGATTCTTGCCTTCATATAAAAGTACTGTATCATCTGCATACATGGTATATTTACTCGCTAGACCAACTTTCACTAATATTTTGAACATAAAGTAAATATAGTATAGATCCTTAAACAGAGCCTTGTGGGACACCCTTATGTAGTTGGTGATATATAAAAAATCATTAAAAGTAATGTATCGTCTTTCATCAAATCAACTTTATGAAGAAACAAATACATTTTCTTTGGAAGATGAAGGTCTGATTAATACTCTAAAAATTTCTTTTGATATTATCAACAAGTACCTCAAATCTAACATTATATTGGTAAGCAATGGTGAAGAATATAGCTAGCAAATAGCTAACGAATAGCTAAGGAATGAAAAACGAATGAAAAAAATAGAAGAAGTAAAACTGGTAAACAAAAACATACATGACCACAAATGCACTCGGAGCAGGACTGCAGAAGGTAGTTGGCTTCAATCTGACAGGTTATGATTTTGTTATTTATGCATTGAAATATCTCCAATAGAGGTCGATCCGGAACGAAAATATCATTGAATCAATAAATCACTATCGGGTACATCCAATAATACTATCCATCCTAACTTCCTGCCATCGGTTAGAACTTAATGAAGTCGACACCCATGGCTCCTTCCTCTTGTTTTACCTGTCAGTATTTTGAGTGGTGTGGACGGACTCGAAGTATTAGGCACTGTTGCAAGATAGAATCTGCAACTTCCCTAAAAAATAGATCCTTTTATTAAGGAACGAATTCATTAGCAAAAAAATGACTGACAAGTTATGAATAACAAATTGTAATATAACGATAGTGAGAAATTATAGATACTATCGCAAAATATTATGATTTATCATCATTAGTAATCAACTTCATTCAGCCAATGGGAGATTTATTGAAATTATTCATAATACTTGTCAAAGTAGGATTGAAGAACCTATTATATCCCATTGCTGTTATGATATAGTTATTATGCATTCAAAGAACAATTTCCGGAAATCTACGGCAACGTCGTACTGGCACAGGGAATCGTATTTGAACTCTGTGTGAATGTGGATCTTCAGAAAGTACGTCATAAGAATGGTGGAGGAGCCATGTTTCTCTTTTATTTTTTTTCTAAAGTGAAATTTGATCTCACGTAAAAAAAGAAAAAAATACGTATATATTATGTAATGTAGTTGGTGATATATAAAAAAAGCATTGAAATAAATGTATCGTCCTCCATATGACACCCCATCAAATCAACTTTATGAAGAAACAAATACAATTTCTTTGGAAGAGCACTATCTGATAAATACTCTCAAAATTTCTTTTGATATTATCAACAAGTACCTCAAATCTAACTTCATATTGGTAAGGAATTCTGAAATCCATGAACATCATACTAGACAATATGCCTTATTTCATCTTGATGCTGCTAATTCTACACTTGGCCAAAAAAAGTTCACCCACGGAGCTCTCAAAATTCACTAAATCAGGTACCTGATGATATCAAAAGTTGAACAAATATCACCCAATTCAAAATTAAAGTCAAGAAACATATTCTTTTGCAAAGATAAAATCAAACCTGAGTGAATGATTTCTCATTCACTAATTTATTTCATCATGTCATGATGTCTCTCTACATGAGCATTGGAAAATCCACTTCCTGCGTGTGAATCATAAAAATAGTATTGATTATTCTCATTTTTGTTTTTTACAGTTCCACCAGAATTATTTCTTCTGGGATGCATATTCGTGGTGGTTGAAGTGGATAATTTCTTGGAGGAGAGCCTACCAGGTTGGCAACAAAAAATCGAAAAACATGGAGGTATGTAATAGTGACTATTTCGAAAATGTGGCTATATAATCTAAACTATCTTTCCATCATCAAAAAATCTGAAAAATCCTATGAAGTAACGTCACGGAACCGTCAGGCAGTCATCAAAACAACGATGAAGCGTCGAAAAAACGTCATGAAAACGTCACGCTTTTGTTGTAACATTTAAAACCATAGATAGAAACGTTAAAAATCAACAAATACATCACACATTCGTCGAAAAGCATCTAAAAATGTGAAAAAAATCATGTCGCATGCATCTTAATGCCGAGAAGCGTAAAAAACTCCACATATGCGTCAAGAATAAAAAACGTAACTGAAAAGTGACATGCATTCCTCGAAACGTCTTAAAGCGTAAAAATAAACGTGCAAAACGTTACGCTTGGGTTGAAACGACGAAAAGCATTAAAACGACGAGGAACGTTGAGAAAACGTGAGAAAATGTGACTGAAGCGTCACGTGGGCACGTGAATAGCTTAGACTAGTGTGATGAATTGTAACGACGAAAGAGCGGCGATAAAGGTCTTGAGAGCGTCAAAATTTCGAAAATCATCGAAAAATGTGAAAAAAGTAAGAAAAGCATATCACATCTGTCAAAAAGCATCTAAAAACGTGAAAAAACAATCACACATACATAATTGTGTTGAATTGCGTCAAAGAATCGTGAAAAATGTCATGTTCTTTAACAGGTCAGAATGCGTGAAAACGTAAAACGAAAGCTTTCAAAAACCACGAAAAAAACATCACGAAAGTGTTACGCGTGTTAAAGAGGGAGTTGAAAAAACGTGAGAAGCGTTAAAGAAAGTGACACATTAGTTGGATTTTATTTGTTCCATACTGATAACGGTGGTGGGAACAAAATGACGTTTACAAATAAAATGACACACTTCATGACCTGAGATAATTAACATATTATAAATGATGAAAGTTATATTCATACATATAAGGATGTTCTGTAACCGCATATGAGAGCAGAATGAGAGGGAGAAGATTTTCAGTCATGTGACCTCTGATGCAAACAGATAAATAGTAAAATAATATAAAAGATTCATGGTTGTAATCCTGGCAGCACCTCAATGTCCTAAAAGTGGTTCGGGTTCCACTATAAGCTGTGGGTCATTCTTTGCTATAAACATAACATTGCATCTCATATAAATATAAATATATTTATTAACATTTACAATGAAATAACATGAATAATCAGACAGATTCATATCTGGTATGAGATTATTCATGTGTTATAGAAGAGAATAGAATAGAAATTTATTGATTTCATTAGATTACAATTCCTTATTTTGAGAATAACAAATTGATTGGTCTATGAAACAAGTCAAAAGTTATACAAATGCATTCAGTACAGACATAATAAAATTAATAATTTTGGACATCTCGCTAATTAATATTCCAAGTAATCCTTAACTGTGTAAGGATCTAACTCGATCAAGTATGATTTCAATGACCGCATGAAACCGCTGATGTGCTCAATCGTTTTTATTGCCTGCGGCAGACAGTTAAAAAATTTAAGTGATCTGTACATTGTACCTCTTTCAGTGGAACTTCTGTTGTGCCTGGTAAACGCATAATCACCTTTATGCTTAATATTATAAGTGTGGCTATTTTCATAACAGTTGAACTGATGCGACTGTTTCATGAGAAATTTTATAGTTTCCAATAGATACACAGCAGGAACCGTGAGAATATTATGGGCCTTGAAGATTCCACGACATGATTCTCTAACATTCATATCAAACATTACTCGGATAGCCTTTTTTGGCTTACAAAAATTCTATCTAACTCCCGACTGCCACCCCATATGGCAATCCCAAACTTGAAGGACGAATAAAAATTTGTTTGTATGTTCCAGACAGTTGAGTCCAGAATAGGATATTCGCTTGTTCAAAATTATTATCATTAATTTAAATAAATCGGAGCACGATTCACCTTGGCGTCTTACCTCGTGGATCTATACGGTCGATATCGTTGAAGCTGGTTCAAGCAGTCTGGCAGGCTGGTAGGCACTTGCTGGTACTTGAAATTGTTGCTGAAGGGCGCCCCGGGATCACTGGATCAATCAGTGATCCTTTTCACTCGTTTTATCGCGAATTATGTATTATTGTCGGAACACTTGTACTGGTCAAAATTACTATATCGTGCGGTGTTCGAGACCTCTCTTTTTCGACTTGTCCGATGCGCATCCTTGATACATGAAGGACGCTCGCGCAGACGCAGGATTATCGTGCATTTTCATACACGAAATTGGAACTATGAATATGAGATAGACAATATTTTCTAATTCATCTAAATGTACAAAAAAAAAACATATCAATGTTTAAGTAACTCTCTAGTTGAAAAATAAATAAATATTATGTTCATAAAATAACGTAAACTTGATAAGGTAAAAACAGTGAATTTCAAACATGTTATTAAATTGAATTATAATTATTGAAATAAACAACAGATTCAAAAATAATAATAATAAAACAAAAAACTTATGAAAAGTACATTATGACATGAAATGAATTAGTGAATGAGAAATCATTCACTCAGGTTTGATTTTCTCTTCACAATAGGATATGTTTCTTGACTTTAATTTTGAACTTTTTTTGGCCAAGTGTAGAATTAGCAGCATCAAGATGAAACAAGTCATATTATCTAGTATGATGTTCATGGATTTGAGAATTCCTTACCAATATGAATTTAGATTTGAAGTGTTTGTTGATAATATCAAAAGAAATTTTGAGAGTATTTATCAGGTAGTGCTCTTCCAAAGAAAATTTATTTGTTTCTTCATAAAGTTGATTTGATGGTGTGATATGGAAGAAGATACAGTACTTTTGATGCTTTTTTATATAGTACAGATATTTTGTTAAAATTATTCTTGGAACATGAACCCCAAATATTTATGAAATAGTTCATTTTACTAAGGATGTGAGAGTATAGAACGGTATTTGCTATATTTGGGATAAGTTTTGGACATCTTCTTAGGGCACCAACTATGGGAGAATTTTTTTCTTTGAGCATGCCAATATGCTTGTCCCATGTTAACTTTTTATCAATCCAAATACCAAGGTATTTGGTATAGGCAGTTTGTTTCAATCTTTCATTTTTCATTCTAATATTCAAATCAATATTTTGCTTATTTCTTTGATGGAAAATTATACAGTGTGTCCCACTCACCATGCTCACCATGGGTAACTTTTTAACGGTGAGAGATACGAGGTCGGTTAAATGACACCAAATGTAGAGTTTGTCAAGGCCAACTATAATGTGAAAAAATATTTTGATAAAATCTATTCGTTTTTGTTTTATACGCAAAAAACAGATTTTGATCATTTTCATGTCTCCTCCGTAACTTCTTTATTTATGAAAATATTCAAATAGGAATTTCACATTCTCATGGCAGTTTTCCAGAGTGATTTCGAAAAAAATATGAAATTCATACCAACTCTCCTAGAATTTGAGATATCAGCACCAACTTTAGTTTTTTAAATGTAGATCATAGCTCACTATGACTTAGTTACAAATAACTTTTTTTTTTCTTACAGATGATGTGTCGCAGTAATAGTTTTGTGTTGATAACAACGGAGTAATCGTCATTGATAGAAAAACAAAAAATTTTTTGGAAGCCGCCATCTTGAATTTATAGATTTCCACAAAAACATCATGATCTCCGACCTCAAAAACCCCCACTCACCAATTTTTGTTGAAATAAAAAAAAAATTGCTGCTCCAAGATGGCGGACAAGATTTGGTCCGATTTCATTCAAAATTGGTCAGTGGGGGTTTTTGAGGTCGGAGATCATGATTTTTTGTGGAAATTCATAAATTCAAGATGGCGGCTTCCAAATTTTTTTTTTGTTTTTCTATAAATGACGATTACTCCGTTGTTATCAACACAAAACTATTACTGCGACACATCATCTGTAAGAGGAAAAAAAGTTATTTGTAACTAAGTCATAGTGAGCTATAATCTACATTTAAAAAACTAAAGTTGGTGCTGATATCTCAAATTCTAGAAGAGTTGGTATGAATTTCATATTTTTTTCGAAATCACTCTGGAAAACTGCCATGAGAATGTGAAATTCCTATTTGAATAATTTCATAAATAAAGAAGTTACGGAGGAGACATGAAAATGATCAAAATCTGTTTTTTGCGTATAAAACAAAAACGAAAAGATTTCATCAAAATATTTTTTCACATTATAGTTGGCCTTGACAAACTCTACATTTGGTGTCATTTAACCGACCTCGTATCTCTCAACGTTAAAAAGATACCCATGGTGAGCATGGTAAGTGGGACACACTGTATATTGGGTCTTATTAGAATTAAAGGAAAGAAGATTGGAGTATAGCCATTCTTCCATTTTCTTCAAATCCTCATTTATGTTGTTTTCTAAAATAACAGGGTTTTTGTTCTCAAATAAAAGTACTGTGTCATCTGCATATATGCCATAGTTTCCTATTAAATTTATTTTTCATGCTCTCTTTTTGAATGTTCAACAAATATAATTCAATGTTCGACGTGGCAAATAACCAGGAAAGTAGTTTTTTTCTGTTGAATAAACCGAGAGACAATTAATATTTTCATCACATGGAGAATGCGAATTCTCAATGTATTCCTTTGAATATATTCATAAATATATCTGAGAATATTCCTTTTCAATACTTTCACCCAATCAAATTTGAACGATGGAAACTCGTTATTTTCATAGACCTCAATCGCAATTCTTGATTAGGTTTCCTCAATTCAGAATTTGTTTCCACGTCTTGTATGATAAATTTCAATTTATCATACATCCAAAAACTAATAAAAATACCGAAAAAAATGCGCAACACGTTTCTGGTTCGCTAACCCCTCCTTTCAATGTCCAATCCAGGTGAGGTGGAGAAGCAGTACTGCACGCGAGTGACGCACGTCCTCTGCGAAACCCAACGTCACGGCGTGGTGATGCAAGCGTTGCGCGACTGCAAGCGTTGCGTCACTATCCTGTGGCTGAACGACGTCATCACCAGGCGGCAGGTGTTGCCGCCGTGGATGGCGCTGCATCTGCCCGGCATCTACTTGGACACGGCGCCGGCCGGCAAACATCTGATCTCTGTTAGCGGGTTCGAGGGAAACGACCGGTGGCGGGTGAAGGAGATGGTCAAACATACCGGCGGGAAGGTGAGTCGTGATCAAATATCTTCCTATGCATTTTGCCGAAAAACTCATAATAAACGTAAATATATACTTTACATACAGGGTGCTGGGGAAAAATTGTCATATATAATAGCACAAGTGATAATATTCGGTGATTGTTACGACAGCTTGTTGCCTTGTAATCTCGTGAATGGCATACGAGCCGTAGGCGAGTAGTTTTGGATCAATGTCATTAGCGAAATTAGAGCAGCAAGCTGGAGTATGTCAATCGACGAATATTTCCAGGAAAATTAGTATCACGAGTTGTATTCCTATGACTATTTCATGATTGAATGAGACTATATACAGTGTGTCCCACTAACCATGCTCACCATATGTATCTTTTTAACGGTGAGAGATACGAGGTCGGTTAAATGACACCAAATGTGGAGTTTGTCAAGGCCAACTATAATGTGAAAAAATATTTTGATGAAATCTATTCGTTTTTGTTTTATACGCAAAAAACAGATTTTGATCATTTTCATGTCTCCTTCGTACCTTCTTCTTTTATGAAAATATTCAAATAGGAATTTCACATTCTCATGGCAGTTTTTCAAAGTGATTTCGAAAAAAATATGAAATTCATACCAACTCTTCTAGAATTTGAGATATCAGCACCCACTTCAGTTTTTCAAATGTAGGTCTTAGCTCACTATGACTTAGTTACAAATAACTTTTTTTTTCTCTTACAGATGATATGTCGCAGTAATAGTTTTGTGTTGATAACAACGGAGTAATCGTCATTTATACAGAAACAAAAAATTATTTGAAAGCCGCCATCTTGAATTTATGAATTTTAACAAAAAAATCATGATCTCCGACCTCAAAAACCCCCACTTGCCAATTTTGAATGGAATCGGACCAAATCTTGTCCGCCATCTTGGAGCAGCCATTTTTTTTAATTTCAATAAAAATTCCATAATGTATTGTCACCGAAATTATGAACACCTGCCAAATTTCAAGTTGATCGGTTATGGAATTTTTATTGAAATTAAAAAAATGGCTGCTCCAAGATGGCGGACAAGATTTGGTCCGATTCCATTCAAAATTGGCAAGTGGGGGTTTTTGAGGTCGGAGATCATGATTTTTTTGTTAAAATTCATAAATTCAAGATGGCGGCTTCCAATTAATTTTTTGTTTCTGTATAAATGACGATAACTCCGTTGTTATCAACACAAAACTATTACTGCGACATATCATCTGTAAGAGAAAAAAAAAGTTATTTGTAACTAAGTCATAGTGAGCTATGACCTACATTTGAAAAACTGAAGTGGGTGCTGATATCTCAAATTCTAGAAGAGTTGATATAAATTTCAAATTTTTTTCGAAATCATTTTAAAAAAATGCCATGAGAATGTGAAATTCCTATTTGAATATTTTCATAAATGAAGAAGTTACGAAGGACATGAAAATGATAAAAATCTGTTTTTTGCGTATAAAACAAAAACGAATAGATTTTATCAAAATATTTTTTCACATTATAGTTGGCCTTGACAAACTCCACATTTGGTGTTATGTAACCGACCCCGTATCTCTCACCGTTAAAGAGATACCCATGGTGAGCATGGTAAGTGGGACACACTGTATATAAGAAATAGGAAACATAATTCAAGTATATTTCAACTCAAACTGCGAAGAAGAACATAATGATAGTAATGAAATACAGAATTCAATTTTTCAGAAATTAACTACCTACTTATAGTTATTCACAAAGTGGAATATACAATTTTGATAAACAGTATTTTTTCATTATCTTGGAGATGGTTGCTCTCAAAAGAGTGTATACAATTGCTAGCCAAATCAAACAAAATAAATTGAATTTATTTGACATGAAATGATTAAAAAAAAAGATATCGTCTCCGAGGGGCTCGAACCATCGACCTTCATATTTTCGCGCAACAACCCTATCAGTTGTGCTACATCATCTGGTAATTATATTAGTAAAAATAACTTGAGTGATTGAAGAAGATTACTTTAAAAAGGAATTTGAATTCTAGTATTGTTGTGTCAGAGCGTCAACAAATATTCAAACTTTTTAAATTACACATGAAACGTCCAGCCAGAATAAAATTGTCTCGCCTTTCGTACAAAATATCTCACTAACGCGAATTATCAGTAAATAAAATAAAGTAGGTACTTGGGTTATTGTCTCAGATTTGAATCCAAAGCAATCTTGACCAGACACGATGTCAAAATCTTATCGCTGATAAACGAGGTTTGTTGGTCACGTGTGGCTCAATTCGGCTTCTGTATTGGTAGAGCAAGTCCGATAAAATCCAATTAACAAAAAATATCGCTAGAATACAGAAGATACCGTGAAAATGGTCGATTCTGATTGGTTCTCGAGATCAAGAGTGGAATAGTCAAAAACATTTTCTAAATTCAAGATCACGTCGCATTATCAACTGATCAACGAGTGTTAACATCAACTACTAAATAGCCACAATGCTCAAAGTGAAATGAAATGTTAAATAAAATAATATAAAAAGATTACAAAGAAACTCAGAGTCATTACCACAATAGTTCATAAAATGAACGAAAATGGTAAATAACGAGAGATAAACAACTACTCTTCTGGCTATATGCCACGCAGAATCTTGGATTACATCTTCCCGAAATCTATGCAATAATTCGTATAGACGAATAAAATCGCAAGTGTTTCCTTCCCAAACGCCGAGCTGCGCCTAAGTGGTTCAGGAACGCGTGACTACCTGCAGACCGGTTTCGAGCTGTTGGCTCTCATCAGTACAGCGCTGTCCCAGATAGCTTCTTGACCGCTATCTGGTGCGAATCCTGACCCAATGTAAACGCATCTCACCATTTATACCCCACGAGGCGTTCAACTTCCGCGAAATGAAACGCAAACGCCGAACGCCACCTGGCAAGGAAAGAAACTTCTAAACAAGATCCCATTTCAGGTGAAATTGGAGTGGCTGGTTGCCCTACTGGCGTAGTTTCAACTAGGAAAAAGCCGAATACTCAAAGTGGAATGCAATTTCACGAAAAGAGAGTAACCCAAAGTCATTACCACAATAGTTCATAAAATGAACGAAAATGGTAGATAAAGAGAGAAAATTCTTATTTCCGTATTTGTTATTCTAGTTGTCAAAATTATCTTGTATGTGTAGGGCAGCGTTGGTCATACTTTGTATGAGCTCTTCTCGGGTATTTTGTGGGGTTTCATGAACTAGCGTTTTCATATGACCCCACACCTATTAATGAAGGGGGATTAGTTAAGGGATTCGCGCTGGACCTGACGTTCCAATCCAACGGTTCAAAAAAACGTTCATCCAGGACCTCTCGAACGATAATGCGCTGGACAACCGTCTTGTTGAAATCATTCGTTCTCTGATGGCAAGAGAAACATCATCAAGAAGCCCCTGTAGATCATGCCGTAGAAAATGTTCATACATTTCTCTGTTCCAATGGTCTAGGAAAAAATGTAGTCCTATTAAATAACTGTCAATGAGTCCCATCCACAGATTAATAGAAAATTACCGTTCAAAACTAGTTTTCCATTAAACGGGGATTGTAGATTGTAGATGGGTCGTATAGGCTGGGAGACCTCTCGATCACTGCGACCTAGAAGATCTATTGTGATTACCCCTATCTAGTTTTGGTCCTCTAACCCTAGACTTCTGATGAAGTCTACAATTTTCCTGACGGTTGAATTCTCCACCTCAGCAGGGGTGAGATAGACCTGTTCTAGGTGGTTCAGCCTTTGGTGGACTAATACTTCACATGAGCAAAGTATGTGTTCCGCGGTTTCGGTCGCATTGTTACAAAAGCGGCAAGTGTCAGTCTCCGTCAGGCCCATCTTTTTGAGGTGGTACCTCAGAGGGCCGTGTCCTGTGAGAAAGCCTGTCATGAGCTTTAGCTCTGGTTTGCTGAGGCTGAGTAGCTCTTTGGCTCGGTTCTGCGAATGGTTGATGAACTTTTATGCTTGTCGTTGACCTGGAGTTGCTCTCCAGTAGGACTTTTCAATTTCTTCCTTTAGGTGACATTTGCTTATCCCACAAAAAGGTTCATGACCAAAAAGTGCAGATGCTGCACCTTTTACTGGGATTTTCTTTGGCCTAATAATGGAGGTTATCAAAATGTGTTATGCTATTTGAATGCCTCTAGCAAATAAACGAAAATAAAAAAACTGCTGTATTGCCAAAAATGAATACTGATAGGCATTTCAAGTATGTTTTTTTTTTCACCCAGTTAGACAGTTATTGCCTTAAGGATGTTTTAAAAATTTTTGACAAATGTGGCTCAGAAATTTTTTTAAGAATAACCGCTAGAATGTTTCAAAATCCACAAATCACCAATAAAAATACTACTTCGTATTGATTTTACATCTATGATCTAAATTATTTCTGGAATTTTCTCATTCCAAACATGAGACCATAGTGTTGATCATGTATTCCAGTTGGATGGTTGAATAAATGTACAGCAGATTTTCGGGAAACTAATTTTCATACCCTCAAAGTCTACCTTTTGGATAAAAAAAAAATTTAAATATCTCAAAAACTGTTAATATTTGCATGATGTATATTGGGGTTAAATCAACCCCTTACCATCTCCCCTATCACACCTCCAAAGAAATGTATCGAGTTACTAGTAACCCTGTATATCACTTGATATACAGGGTGTTTCAGTTTTTTGTAGCAGGACTTCAACAGCTTGAAAAAGACATTTTTTCAAGATAGAAATCTCAAACAAACATATATGCGTGGGAGCTCCGTTTCCGATTTACAGGGTGTCATAGTTTCTGATTTTTTTTTATGTATTTCGAATTTTCTCCTACAATTTTCAGAATAATTGATTGAAATTTGAGACAACTAATACACTTCCAAAACTCAATATTTGAGGCTATTGAGCGTTTTTGAATACCTACAGGGTTCAGAGGTCGTACTCAATTCAACCCTGTAGATCTTTTTTGCGTGCCGCCTCTGCTTTCAATAGGACATAGATTCAGATTGTCTCTGCAATTTGGAAACTTTTTGCCCCTATGTACATTTTTCGAAAACTATATGGATCTCGAGATAAATGCCAAAAATAAATTACTTGCAATAAAACCGTTATTTCTCAAACACTTATTTGAAATTTCTTAAACATTCACTGAAAGTCTATCACCCTGTAGGTATTCAAAAACGCTCAATAGCCTCAAATATTGAGTTTTTGAAGTGTATTAGGTGTAGCAAATTTCAATCAATTATTCCGAAAATTGTAGGAGAAAATCTGAAACTTTGACACCCTGTGAATAGGAAACGGAGCTCCCACGCATATATGTTTGTATGAGATTTTCATCTTGAAAAAATGTCTTCTTCAAGCTGTTGAAGTTCTGCTACAAAAAACTGAAACACCCTGTATATCGGCCAACCCTGTCTGGGACACCTCTAGATAGTGGTTATATCAGTGGTTTGTATAGATAAATACTATCGAATCCGAGATCGTCATGAAAACATCACTAATTTGTTCCAGTGCACATCATATTTCTCGAAGCACAACACCCTGCTCATCTCGGCGAAAGGTGACGGTAAAAAGGTCTCTTATGCGAAAAAATGGCAGATACCCGTTGTGAATGTGCAATGGTTGACTGACGTGATGCTGGGCCATTTCGCTGCCATGAATCAAATGGACCATCAGATGTACCAGCAGTTCCAGAATCCACCGAACTTCAGTTTCGATCCCAAATTAGTTCCTAATTTAATGGGTAAGAATTCTTCATTAGCTGTCACATTCAAAATATTCAACACTTATTATACTAAATACTGCTTGTAGGCTAAATCAGTTTTGCATCAATCAGCAGATGATTTGCACCAATATGTTCATTTGATAGTCAGTGACCTCTTGTTCGAAAAAAGTAGGAAAAAGAATACAGAAGTAATATCAATTATCACTTGTCTTTGGACGTTTCAGAAACGAATATTCCCGTTTTCAACACGAAAATGAAAAAAATTCTTGCAGTTACTGTTTTCGTTTTTGCCTCATGACACTTGTCAGTGACAGAAGTTGAGAGAAAAATGTGTGAGCTACAAGGTGTTCCCCAATAGATCTTGAAATAAACAATTTTTATATTCAGATTTTAGGAGAAGATACAATAGATCATAAATGTTCTAGGAATCACGCCATTTAACATTCAATATGTGAACCCCACGTCATCATCTGAAATTCAATTGTTTATATCAAGAACCAATCTAAAAAATTGTTCTAAAATTGTTCTATTCGTCATTCGGTTGCCCCCTTACGAGCAACCCTCAGAAGTCGTCGAAAGTCTTGTGCGAGCAAGGAATGACGGGGGCCTTACCTTTTAACGTGTGATCCCAAACACTTTCTTGGGCCATCAGAAAAATGTCTGTAGTCGATGGGAATCGAATCCACGACCGGCATGCGAATGCGAATTAGAATATAGACACTTTGTCCGCACGGCTACCTGGCCCCTAAGTCTGACGAAACAAATGAGAGTGAGCGCACCAGAGGTTTATTTCATCAATGATAAGATCTTTGCGAATATGCACAAATTCACTCAAAATGAAAAATTACCCTAAACAGATAGGGGCTACGAAACCCTTGCATCATTGTTTTGTATCATAGTAACAACTTTCTCCTAAGACAATGTCTGAAAATAATTACCGTGTTAGTAGTTTACCAAATCATTTGAATCTTACAAATCATTCAAGATTAGAGCGGCAAATTCGTGGAACAATTAGCTGGAAGTCTAGACTAACTCCTGATGTCTCATCGATGGTCCCATTTTGTACCATATGGGTGCGGACGATTTTCAAATATCTCATTAAAAAATTACCGAAAACGCAACTTTGTCAAATGACACCTACTATTTTTTTGACACCATATTCCAGTGCTGGTACCAACGACAGAATGCAATTAAAACAATTTTGAAAAATACTATGATCTGCTTCAATAGTGCGGGAAGTTATATCAACGCGTCCTCCGGCAATCTGCAATCACGTGCAGAAAAGTCGCTTTGAAGAAACATATAAATATTCAAATGTCAGTATACTCCTCAAAAACATAACATACCTACTTTCCCACACTAAGTGAAAAATCACTTTACGCACGTGTTAGGCACATCATTTTTTCTACTACTGCTATAAAAAGTAGCGCATTTCTCATAGCTTACTTAGTTTCAAAACCATGTATTGCTCATACAGTGTGAAATATTTTTTCTCACGGCACTTTGCCGACACCACATGCATTTCCATGGAGAATAAAAAAAATCGCCCAAAAGTTAATTGGCTGCTGTTCAGCTTTGAATAGTTGTCACAACTGTCAGAAGAAGTTTTCCAAATTCTTCAGGGTAGTTCAAAATCAATCAAATCAATCAAAAATATACTTTATTGTCAAAGAAACACATTCTTGCTGACAAAGCATGATGAATAAATACTATAAATGAAATGAAATGAAAATTTCCACAATCAAGGTTGAGGTTGAACTCGTTGGAATACAGATACATAGACAATTTAAATGATCAATAATTGAAATAAATATATAAGTAAAGTGTATAGACAGGTGCATAACATGAAGGTACATAAATTATTGACTGGATCCACATGTACTCATATTGAAATATATATCTCTGTACAAGAACCGGTGAATACTAAAGTTTGTAGATATGGACGTACAGCATAAGGGCATTTGATAGAAATCGCATTTTCCATGAAATATTATTCCAAACAATCATAATAAATGATATGATGTATATACCGAGATGTGACGAGCCAGAGACAGAGATAAAAGCCGCGGTAGTTGGATTTAATTAAGGAAATTTCAAGAAAAAAGTATGAATTGGCATATACGAAAAATGTATGGAATCCACAAAAAATACAGAAATATAATCTTTTTCGGAAAGTGTACTTTTTTGAAATACTTTGAGGAACTATTCGCGATGGAAAATAAGCATACGCCACCTATCGGAGCTCTTGAAAGCTGTCAAAACGGCATGTTTACTTTGTTTTCATTGGTTCACATTTGCTTTTTGTTTGTGCTTATTGGTCATATTATCAAAAGAAACTGCTCAGAAGTGTTCAAGTTGCTGCCGTCAGGTGGGGCGACGTGTTATTTTCTATTGCAAATAGGAAAGACGTCTACTCTTTGGTCACAATATTCAATGTGGCATAGTGCCACATTATAAAATGAATACCAATATGTAAATTACTTTGGATTCTTTGAATAAGTGCAGTTGTAGAAAAAGTATAGTGTGCAACATGTGGGGAAAAGTACTTTTCTCACTCGTGTGTTTGCATCACTCGCCTTTCAGGCTCGTGTCACAAACTTTCACACTCGTGAGAGAAGTTGAACTTTCCCCACTTGTTGCACAATATACTATTTTCTACTAGTGTGCGAAAAAAACCAAAAGTCAACATAAAGAAACATTTATTATTATTATATATTCTAATGTCAGTATACTCCCCAAAAACTTAACAAAATTACGTTTGCGCACTATGTGCGGAAAAGTGTCTTTCAACACTAAAATGAGTTCGGATAAGTGGACTTTTCCGCACGCTAGTGGACAAAATTATTTGTGGTTAGTCTGGCTGCAACTGCTTCTCAAGTACGCTATATATGATGTTGAAAAATTTGAAACATCGTTCCATTAAAATACTTCACTTAAAACCTATGTTTTTGAAGTTATTCATAGTTCTTGGAAGCATATTTCACATAACATAATAGGGATACTCTTTTACTCTTTCATGGGATCAAAAAGATGAAAAAACCGTATTATTTTTTTTGTTTTTTCAGTCGCTTGGAAAGCCCCTATAAATATATCCCAAGAGTCTTATGAACGAGTGAAAAGATGTGCCTCACCTGTGGTAATACCAAAAAAACCGAAGAAGCAGAAAATGGAAACTGATGAGAATGATAATATCAGTGATGAACAAGTCACGAACCCTTCATACAGAATTATGTTCTCCATGTACAGTGATACTAAAGATTTGCAGGGAATAGTCAGGTGAGTCATTTTAGAGACTTATTGGTTTGAGAATTGTAAAATATAGAGTTACAGAGTTACATCATATCAACTTTTAGGACAAAATGCTCTGAGAATATATTTCTAGAGAGGTTGGTCTAAAAATAACATAAAAAAGTACAATCAACTCATTTTCTCATGCAGCACACTCTTTGTTCTTAAAGAAACAGATGAATACGAAGTTACATACATAAGTTATTTCCAGCAAACATATACTATAAGAGCAAACATAATGATGCTATTAAACTTGTAAAAATAAACATAAAGAACGCAAAAACACATGCACAAACGAATTCAAAAAATGTGATGGTAACCCTAGAAAACCTGGAATACAATCAACAAAATATTAACAAACAAAGGGAAAGAGAAGGAAGATAAAATATCCTCAATCGCCTTTAACAATATATCCACCAGCCACCAAAGAAATTGGAGAATATTTGAATACTATTTTTGCTAAGATTGTAACCGGATTAGCATCCAAAATTGAGCATCAATAGATGAATTTAACTTTGGAAAAAAATGAACGGGACAGCATATTCCTGAAACACACAAGTGAAAGGGAAATAAAAGAACTAATCAGTGATTTGGACCCAAATAAAGCCACTGGCTATGATTTAGTTCAGGTGAAAACTGATGAAACATGCTTGAAGGAGGTTACTCCAATTCTTACAGAAATATTTAACAAATTTTTCGAATACGGGCATTTTCCATCCATGATAAAAATTGCGAGAGTGTCACCATTATTTGAAGAGGGGGAGAAAACAAGTAGTAATAATTATAGACCTGTATCAATTTTACCTGTGTTCTCTAAGATAATGGAGAAGGTCATTAATACTCGCCTCTTGAATTTTTTGAACAAGAAAAAGCTCGGCTATAAACATCAATATGGCTTCTGCAAGTCGAGTGACACAAGGTCGGCAGCAATAGATTTAGTCACTGAGATACAACAAAACACCAATAATCATGATAAGTGTCTCTCGGCCTGAGGAAGGCTTTTGACACAGTTGATTACCATATTCTATTGTCCAAATCAGAAAGGTAAGGTATCAGAGGCATAGTTTTGAAATTGTTCAATGAGTACCTCTCAGGCAGACTACAACATGTTTCAAGTGATAGTGTAGCTAGTACTAATCAAACAATAAATATGAGTACCAACATTACCTATTCCTGATTCATGTCAATTCAATTCAATGAAATTGTATGCTTATAATACCATACCACTTTATTCATGATTCATGGTGATCATGAAGTTGGCAAATGTAAATCTGATATAAGGAAATGCTCTATCTGCTGTAGCCAGAAAAATATTAACATTACTGTTAATCATGCCGTTTGGGAGAAGGATAAATAAACGACTTACATACAGGCTCTAGATAAATTCAAAAGTAATTCGTTCTTGAATCAATAGCAATCAGAGAGCAATCATCTACCCTCCCCCGTATATAACACAAGTTCTCCGCTGGGCCAAACAAGAAACTCTTTCAATTCACTATCAGAACACACGCGGCCTCAAAACAAAAACTGCTGATGTATTTAATTCTTTAACACAATGTGATTTTAAAATATTCGCTTTTACTGAAACATGGCTCGACTCATCAGTTAGCAATACGAAACTATTTCCTAACTACTTCAATATATACAGGAAGGATCGTGACAGCTCATCAACAAATGTATCCACTGGTGGTAGAGTTCTTATTGGAGTGCATGAAGACATTATATCTAATTGCATTAACTTAGCTGATTATTCATTCCCGAATTTTAGGTCTATTGAGGTAATTTTAGTAAGAATAACTCTGGTATCTAATTACTTTTATATATTGAATTCGTACATACCACCAAGGACAACGTTATCAGAATTTGAACAGTTCAGAAGTGCTTGAGTGTTTTTATATGAAAGTACTACTCTGATGTTGGGGGACTTCAACATAGCCGATTATGCGACCTATCTCCGAACTAATAGAAATAATTCACGAATATCACTGTTAAATAACTTCTCTCAATTCTTCGACTTTTCTCAAAAATCACGTTAATAAACTCCTAGACTTAGTATTCTGTAACCAGTTTTGCTTGGTGGAGAAATCTCTAGACCCTGTAGTAAGGGAGGACAAGCATCACCCGGCACTTGATATATCTTGTTCGCTCAATCTCAATTCTCAACGTGAAAAAAACCCTGATTCATTCTTTCAAAATAGTTACAACTTTCGAAAAGCAAATTTTCCTTCAATGTACGAGTTGATGTCGACTATTGACTGGACATTCTTGGAATTATTTGTCAATGCTGAAGATGCTTGCACTTACTTCTATGGAAAACTGTATAATATCTTTGGCCCCGACGGAATCCCACCGATTGTTCTCAAGAAATGTGTTCCCGAACTAACACCTGTTCTCTGCAAGTTGTTTAACTACTCTTACAAATTGGGGATATTCCCGTCCAACTGGGAAATTGCAAGAGTACAACCAGTTCCTAAAAAAGGCAAAAAGACCCTACCTAGCAACTACAGACCGATCGCATTACTATCTATTATTTCAAAGATCTTTTTTTTATCGCTTGGAGCGCACGAAAGGAAATCCCTATAATGTTCAAAGAACATCGTGGCGAAAGCTATCAACATCGAGCTCATGAAATACCTGGAACATTCAGGTATTATCAACGTTAGGAAATATGGCTTCCGTCATCAGAGATCAACTGGTGTCCTCCTCGCTTACGTCTCGCATATATGGCAGCAATCTATTGAAAAATATGGTGAAACCTTAGCCATGGCACTTGATATCTCCAAAGCATTCGATTGAGTTATGTTCTCTGCTAGCTAGTTTTCTCTCAAACAGGTCTCCATGTAGTGGTCGACGGAGTTTCATCTGACACTATTTCTACTTCATATCAACGATTTGTTGGAAGCAACTTCATGTCCAGTACACAGCTTCGCGGATGATAGTACCTTCCACATCGCCTCCTCTTCCAGGGCTCCAATATCAGCCAGGCAAATCAGAAACGAACGAGGAAGAAATGTTGACAACAAAAATATGGACTTGGCAACAATTCTCGAATGGGGATCCAATAACTTGGTAGATTTCAATGCAAACAAAACACAAGCATGCCTTTTCTCTAGAAAAGCCGATCTCACTGTGCCCAACATAAGCTCGTCAGGAGTAACCATACCTTTGAAGACATCCATTTCGATGCTTGGTATTATTATCAGCAATAACCTTTCTTGGGAAAATCACGTGAGATCAATTGATAAAAGTGCATCCCAAAAACTTGGTTTTCTGTTTCGGGCCAGGAGCTATTTCACTTCCAGTCCGCTGCTTATGATCTATAAGGCACAGATCCGACTTGTCCTGGAATACTGTCCCCATATTTGGAATGCAGCACCCAAACACACCTTGAAACTGTTGGATTCTGTCCAAAAAAAGTCAATTCGTCTCGTGGATGATGCTTCCCTCACAAACTCACTCACTTCTGTGGAACACCGTAGAAAAGTTGGCGATCTGGCTCTATTTTATAGATATTTTCATGGACGATGCTCTTCTGAAATATCTACAATTTTACCTTTCTTGGCAGTCCCCGCGAGATTAACCCGTCGAGTAGAGGCTTCGCACCCCTTCGTGGTCACTTTGGAGACCTGCAGTACATCTTTTTCCAAAGACTCGTTCATCCAACGAACAGCGAGGCTCTGGAACATATTGCCAAGGGAGGTGTTCCCCGAGGCATATAACCTCCAGAAATTTAAGAAGAACCCTAATTCCTACCTTATTTCCCTTGGTTCTCACGATGTTCTCTGAACATTACAGGATATCCTTTTTCGTTTTCGTGGGAACCAGAACATGAAAAAAAGGCATTTAGGCACCTTATTTTTTTTTTCTTCAGATGGGATCCTATATTTGTAAAATGATTTATAAATATATTTATGTGTTATTGCATTTTGATAAGTAGTATCGATATTATTTTTTCATCAGCTATATAACCTATCATTATTTAGCCCTTTTCGAGGCGCGTAAAGTGCGTTTTTACTACCAAGGTAGATTTCGTCATTTTATAAATCATGTCAATAAAGGCTCTGATATAATTAACCTGAATTCACTGTTCTAATGCGAGATTTGCAGGAATGGATTCGAATCTAGTAGGTATTTATTAATAACGACTTGTCATGTGCTGTCATGGTGATAAATACTAGATTTTAATCAGGATTGAAAATAAGTTCTTTCATGTTTACAATATTTCAGCTACACAGAGCTAAAACCATTGAACTGTATTGCTAGTGGTGAAAAAAAATGTAATCCTCCTCTACTACAATAATGAACAGGGTGATTCATAGGATTGAACGAATGCAGACAAATCAATCGCGAAACATTTCAAAAAGTTCGTGAGAAATTCGAAAATAGGCTGTGCACATTTTGTGCAATTGCTTTGAATACCACTCTGAAAAATTGCATTTTTTCTTAGACACGATTCGTCAAAATAAATCATTCTATTTGCCTCTGAAAGGAACTAGTAGTGTATACCATTCTCAGCTGGATGAAGCACCAACACATTCTGTTCTGATTGACAGAAAATATGTCATTGTTAACTGAAACCATATATACGAGTGAACTCTTTGATAGCTGGAAACGTTTCACAAGTACGGTCCTGGATTTTTTTCAATTCTGTATACGTTTGTCTCTTGGTGTTGGAGTGCATAATGTTCCATGAAAAAATGAAATGAATCAATGAAGCAATTGAAAAGTGATGACATGAATTTAATATTTTGCCAATCCTATGGGTCACTCTGTATATTATTGTAGAAGAGGAGAAAACATTTTGGATGGCCATGAGGTATTTCCCTCAGGGGCATCTGTTCGTGGTAGGAGTATGTTCAGTTACTCATGACCCACCCTGTATGCAAAATAGATTATTTTTCACCTGGTTGATTTATTTATTGATAGACCGTCAATTTCATGTATTTTGAAGTAGCGTGTGCCATTTGAGATTTCAAAGTGGGGGTGTCTGGGGGTGAAGAGGATAAACATAGAATTCAATTGATACTGGCATTTTACTTCCCACTCGATATCTTAATCGACCTGTTTTTCCCGAAAACTGTAATCTTCGCAAACAAAAGATATGCAGGGTGGTAAGTTATGAAATGAAAGCCGTGTATATACACCGTGTCCCAGCTAAAATGTCCCCCCCTGTAAAAAATCGACCGAGCGATCGAATGACTTGAAATTTGGTCACCCAGTATATTTGATGATGCTCACTCGAAATATGCAATTGAATAAGTCGTAGGTATACAGGGTCACACCGAAGTGCACCTCAACTATCTTATTTGAATAGGGACACCTAATATATTATTCCATATTCAAGTATAGTTAATTATTACAAATTCAACAATGCCGGGTTTGATGGGATTATTTCAAACGACTACGAAGATACGGCAAAAAATAAATGATTCAATAGAAATTTATATGATTAGATTTTATATGAAAAAAAAATTGAAACCTCAACTGCTCAATATGTCGTCCATTCTGCTGTAAACATTTTCTATATAGAGCTTTTGATAACGATCATTGTGACCATATGTATCACGTTGCGATCAATTTGTGCGCATAAATTTGTGATTTTCTCTTCCATTTCTTCCATATTCACAATTAGCGACTCATGAACCTGTTGTTTCAAGTAGACCCACAAATAAAAATCAAGTGGGTTGAGGTCTGGCGGCCGAGCTGACCAGTTGCTATCACCATCGAGACAATTTGTGGTTACTAGATTTTCTCCAAACCAATGGCGAAGATAATCCTTTACGGGTATGTAACTATGCGCAGGACACCCATCATTCGATTTCAATCGTGTTATATTAATAAAATCTAATCATCTAAATTTTTCATTGAATCGTATTATTTTTTGCCATATCTTCGTAGTCGTTTGAAAAAATCCCATCAAACCCGGCATTGTTGAATTTGTAATAATTATCTCTACTTGAATATGGAATAATATATTGGGTGTCCCTATTCAAATAAGAAAGTTGATGTGCTTTTCGGTGTGACCCTGTAAACCAAGGATTTATTCAATAGCATATTTCGAGTGAGCATCATCAAATATACTGGGTGACCTAATTTTAAGTCATTCGATTGCGCGGTTAACTTTTTAAAGGGGGGGCATTTTAGCTGGGACACGGTGTATATGGACATGATGAATACTTATTATTTCCTATTTTTTCTCTTCATCCATTGTTTATAAAGCATAATTATATCTATATCATGTGTATAGCAAGTTAAGTATTTATTGTTTATTGTATGTGGAAATAGAGACATTATTATTATTATGATTATCTCGTCCCAGGGAGCTCGGAGGCAGCGTTTCGAAAATCGACCAGGACTTTACGCACCTGGTGATGCCGCGCCTCGCCAGGACCAACAAACTCTTCTTCGCCATCGCGAAGCACGCCACCGTCGTGTCGGAGCGGTGGCTCACGGCCTCCCGGGACGCCAACCGGTTTTTACCCGAGGGGGATTACCCGCTGGAGCTGGAGGATTTCGACCGGCAGTACGGATGCGATTTGGACAGGACGTTCGCGACGAGAAACCGAAATAGGTTCGTCAAATCCCAGTTTTTCTTTTCTCTCTTTCTTTCTTTCTTTGTAGCTCGTCAACAGAAGCATTAGAAATGTGATCGATATTATTGTCGTAGGACTTTAATAATAACACAATACGTTCCGAGATAATCGAACAAAGGGCCCCGCACCATTTACATTGAACTCTTGTCTACGGTGAAATTTCGTAAAAATCTAGGATTGGGTAGATCTAATCATGCTGAACAAGAAATGTCCTTTGGTCCAAGGATCGTTATGCCCGTTGAAAGAAATTATAAGATCTTGAAGCTAAACGGGATAACCTCTCTACCGGAACAGCACATCCTGTGTGTAATATGGTTTTGGCTAATATGATATTTTTGAGTTGTCAAATAATGGTCATCCGTGTTTTGTCAGTAAAAGTCATTGAGCAAAGCGACTCGAGGGCATGCCATCGGTGCATTCGAAATAATAGGTAGACGCCGCGATTCATTCGTGAAGTACAAAAAAAAACATATGCCCACAATCGTAACCGACAAACACGAATGCGAATAACATTTCGGAATCATGGACAGAGAGTGTGCTATCGATACATTTGAAATAATTGGTAGACGGCGATTCCTTCTTAAATTACGAAAAAAATGTATGCATTTGTAACATTCGCAAACGCAGAAAAAAGAAAGGCAAATGACGGAATCATGGGCAGAGAATGGAGGGAATGCCATCGATACATTTGAAAATTATAATATATCGCTCTTTCTATGAATGTAATTATGTTTCATAATTTGAAGTCTTTGAAGCTATTTGAATCTGGGCCATGACAACAGAGGTACTCAGAATTTAATCACTTCATCACAGAGGGAAACATTAATAGTCCAATAAATGAAGGAGAAAAAAAAAGGCAAAGTTAACGTTAATTACGCACTATTTTCATCTTTCGGTTGGAAGTAGCTTTTGGTACCCCATTAAACATGAGACAAAGTTTGACTGGAAAACGCGTGCGATGGCGGAGAAAATGGCCCCAAAAAACCAGGAAAATAGGTTTTCAGCCGATATCTCCTAAAATATGGCAGTTAGAGATTTTCGGTTCAGATAAAAATTGAAGTTCAGTTAATTTTCTACAAAAATGGTCCTTATCATTTTTCTCGAAAATTTGCCCGGTTTCGAGAAAAACGGCACGAAGCGCACCTCGAATAATGAGCTTCTGTGTTGTATGCCGGAGAGCACAGTCAGTCCGTGTATTTACACATCGGCGGGGGGACAAATTATTCAATAACTTTGTTAAAAATGCATATTTTCTCATGATTCAAAGTTCATGTGAAAGAGGAATTCTGCTGCTATCATACCCTGCGTGGCCGCATGGTTTGTAGCAGACCACTCGAGCGCCACGTAGAGCACACACGCGGCGAACGACGGAGGAACGAAAGTAATAAATTATAGCGTGTACATTTAGATATACTGGTTTTTCCCGGGATATCAAAGGTATAACTTATATACATCGATGGAAAGGTGGGAATTCCCCCGTTACACTAGTCAAGGTGTTAAAATGTTAGAAATAAATAGCACGCAGAAAAAAAACACCGAAAAAAAAAGTGCGTTTTTTCCTTGACCTCGCCTTTTCTAATTTTATTGAAAAATGGACGACTTCGTCTAACAAAGTAATTGCACAATCGAAAAGTAGACCTTCTTAGCTTTCAAATGATGTATCATAGAAACCAATCGGATCATGTATAAATATTTAATTGATGGTTGTTCACAAAATTTCCCCGCGCTCCAAAAACAGCAAAAAATTGGGATTCAATAAACAAAGATTAAATGAAAATTAAAAAAAGTTAGGGTATATAAATTTCAAGGATGACGAAGGACCTTATGAGGACCCATAATCAAGAGAATTTTGAGTAAATTAGTGCAATACAAAAAAAATAGGAACAAATTCCTGGCGAGGTCAAAATTGACCGGGAGCAGAAAGTTTGACTCATGTTCCGATATGGCCAAAAGAGTCAAGCGTGACTCAATTCACAGGGTATGATAGCAGCAGAATTCCTCTTTCACATGAACTTTGAATCATGAGAAAATATGCATTTTTAACAAAGTTATTGAATAATCTGTCCCCCCGCCGATGTGTAAATACACGGACTGTGCTCTCCGGCATACAACACAGAAGCTCATTATTCGAGGTGCGCTTCGTGCCGTTTTTCTCGAAAACGGGCAAATTTTCGAGAAAAATGATAAGGACCATTTTTATAGAAATTTAACTGAACTTCAATTTTTATCTGAACCGAAAATCTTTAACTGCCATATTTTAGGAGATATTGGCTAAAAAAACCTATCTTTCTGGTCTTTTGAGGTCATTTTCTCCGCCATCGCACGCGTTTTCCAGTCAAACTTTGTCTTAAGTTTAATGAGGTACCAAAAGCTAGCTCCAACCGGAAGATGAAAATAGTGCGTAATTAATGTTAACTTTTTCCCTTTATTTATTGGACTATAACATAAATCTATCTTTTCAACTAGGTAGAAACTACTCCGAGTAGAGGATCGACACTATGTAATTGTTCGCAATTACAACTTGACATTCGTACTTTCCATGTATTGGATATGAGTTTAATGAGATTGTATGAGCGCAAGTGAAAGGAACTTTTTAACTTCAACGGTTAAAATTGGTCATAGATCAATAAGGATGTCCCTGAAATATTGGTTGAAATTATTTTTCGTCATCGCGAAGCACGCCACTGTCGTGTCTGACCGGTGGCTCACGGCCTCCCGAGACGCCAACCGGTTTTTACCCGAGGGGGATTACCCGCTGGGACTCGAGGATTTCGACCGGCAGTACGGATGCGATTCGGTCAGGACTTTCGCGACGAGAAACCGGAATAGGTTCGATAATTCCCAGTTTTTCTTTTCTCATTTCTTTTCCTTTCTCTCTTTATTTCTGTGTTTCTTTGTAGCTCTGCAAGCAAAGCATTAGAAATGTGATCGATATTATTGTCGAAGGACTTTAATAATAACAAAATACGTTCCGATAATCGAACAAATTTCGTTGCGGAACGATATAAAACCAAAATATTGTATGACTAATCCAAGAGAAAGAAAGAAAACTCAAAGTCGTATCCACAATTTTAATGTTGAAGGAGGCAGTCAATCCTGCTTCAATAAGGTTCGATACATGTTTCGGCTACCTATCCAAATGGCCATCTTCAGTCAAATCAACAACGAAGTGTATCTACAATAGAAAAACCAAACATGATTTTATATCAAGAAGAAATTGAGATTGAAAAACAAAAGTTGTAAATGCAAAATTGAATTAGTTAACAAATTTCAGTAGGATAAGATAGCAATGGTGATCATTATAAGTATAACAATAACAATTGATTAGTAATTGATGAGTGAAAAGTGAAAAAGTGAAAAAACGAAATTTTTATTAAGTAAAAAATTCTGATAACAAAAAGGGGGGACCAAAGGTAAGAAGGTTGTACTCAGGTGGAAAATTTTTATAACATCGTGAAGGCGAAACACTTAGTCTTTAAACATAATTTATCATTTAATGTGAAAAATTGAGTTGTAAGTTGGTAAAATTTGAGTTTCACTGTAACAATTCCATTAAAATCACTTGGTTCAAGCAGTGAAAATATTCTGTTGTGGTGACTAGAAGATTGTTTACTATACGAAGATTACACAGTAATATAAGGTATCCTGTATTGATGAGAATAACTCTTTATTGGAAATTTATGAAATTATCTGACATTGTCAAATAATGTCAACATTTTTGTCATCATCATACATACCTAAAAAAGAAAAATGTAAATGAGTGTAAAGAGAAGGATTGTGGAAGTGGAGAAATTTCATTAGGTTCGTTAATTCCCCTTTCTTTTCTTTTCTCTTTTTTATTTGTTTCTTTGTAGGTCTGCATGCAAAGCATTAGAAATGTGATCGATATTATTGTTGAAGGACCAATTGAAGTTTCCAGTGTCATCAATGAGCTCAAAAATGAAAATTCTACAGGTATTATTACCTTACCACAAAAATCATAAAATCCATGTTGAACTTTATCTGTGAACTACTCACATTTATTATTTATTATATCAGTGTATATAGGTAGTGGAAATACTTGGGAAGAAACAGTATCAAATGCTTAATTTGATTTATTAATTATACAAAACAACCTTGATCATGATTTACTCACTCTAAGTTTGAAATAATCGAATTTCATGACATTCACATTCAATGAGAGTATGCAACCAAAAGAATTGATGAATCAAAGATACATACTATACCATGTTTGAAAAATGAAAAGCAATTTAATTTTACCGAATATATTACGAAAATTGATGTAGTAAAGTATTTGGGAGTTTACTTAGATTGCATGCTCAAATGGCATAAACAAATCAATGAATTGATACAAAAACCAAGGAAAACACCATAAATTAAGGTTTCTGAGAAACATTGTCAGTCGAAAATCAATTATCAGTTTCTATTATAGCCATTTCCAATCAATTTTGGCTTATGACATAATAGGCGTTGAAACCACTTATATCTATTCAAAAAATTTACCTTGTAAATTATCTTGAAAAAACCTTCTGATTATTCTTCCAAAATCCTCTTTGAACATTATAACAGTATTTCTGTTGATCAATTGTTTTATAAAACATCAACAATATACATAAGAAAACATATACAAAACTATAATCATGTAAAACATAAATATGACACCAAAAATAAAATTGATGGTTGGATATCAACTGAGGAATTCTCTTTAACTTCAATGCAACAACATGCCATTCATATAGGTAAAAAAATTCACAATAAATTGCCTCTTTGAAAAAAATCAGTTTTTCTGGATTCAAGAAAAAAATTGAATCATGGTTGATTGAGAATTCAGAATGTTTAGAAATTTGATTACATGATAATATACTTAGGCAACATTTCATGTTTTTCATAGTTATTTTGAGATAACATAAAAATGTATTCAATATGTTGATTGTACTCAATGAGAAAATGATATTTAGTTAGTGGAAGGAAGAAAAAAAAAGTCATGATTATGGACAAGTTCTCAACTTTTTTGATCATGTTTATATTATAAAAAAAATGTATATTATTATTGATATAGTACGCTGATATGGGCAGAGAATCGAGGGATTTGATAACAATATTGATATGACCTGTCAATTTCACTCGAGGCACCGGTGAATCAAGACTACAGGGCGTACATACTCCGTTCGGTTCAAGAAGTTTTAAATAAAACTCATCCATCACATAAAATAACATCACACACCTAATTAGCAATTCCTGAGATGCAACCAAAATATTCATGCGTCATAGACTATACTCCACCTGCTATACTGAAAAAAAAAATAGTGAATACATTTGTGATCCCCTGAGGGACATGATTAATGAATCAACTGACATATTTCCAGATGAATTAAAAATAGCAAAAGTCATACCAATTAAAAAAAAAAGGATCAGAAAGTAAAGTAGGGCAATCTCATAACTTCCTCCACCATTGAAGGTCTTTGAGAGAGCAATATACAATAGGCTCATATAATTTCTTCAACTTATAACATTTCTTCAAATGAATTTAGCTTCAGACAAGGCATGTCCACAGAGCAAGCAATATTTAATGCAATTGAATATATCATTGAGAAGGTTGAAAAAATGACAAACCCGGCAGGTTTGCATTTTGACCTCTCAAATTATTATTATTATTAGAGGCGTTGGATACAAACTCATTGAGTCATATCTGTCAAATCTGGTACAGGTGGTATCTGTTTCAGATGGAAAAGAACTATATTATTCAAGATGTTCCTCAAGGTTCAATACTTGGGCCGATCCTTTTCTTGCTATACATTAACGATTTACCAAAAGCCTTACATCCTGGTAGTGTGTACCAGTTTGCAGATAACACTTCTGTTATCATAGCGGGAAACAGTATGCCTGAACTCTCAACAAAATCTTCTAATGTCTCAGACAGTATGAACCTGTGGTGTGAAAAGAATAATCTTAAGCTCAATGCGGCAAAAACAGGTCTCATTGTTTTAAGCAAAATGAATAACAACGAAAAAACATTGTATGCAAAATAAATCAGTTTCAATATCAGACATCTTTAAATTCCTAGGTGTTACATTGGACGCAACTCTCAGCTGGGACGCACGCACTAATTTATTGAATAACAAATTGAACTCAATTTGTGGAGTTATACGCTACGTTAGGGACCAAGGATCAATCAGTAGCCTGAGAATGTATTATTTCGCCCATGTGCAATCAACCATATCCTATGGTATAATATTCTGGGGCTCATCATCAAGTTCACAGAAAATATTCATATCGCAGAAGAAAATTATTGGATGTATTCTGAAACTAGATCGCAATGCTTCCTGTAAACTTCATTTTGCTGAACTCGAGATCATGACAGTACCTTCTTTGTACTTCTTGGGTCTTGTATGCTTTGTAAAAAAATATCCGCATCTGTTTCCCAGAAATAGCGACCAATATTCGCCAAATATGCACTTGACCACTAGATACTCAAATGAATTGACAATACCCAACCTCAAAACAACATTACCAAAAATCTTCATATATAATGCAATAAAAGCCTACAATTCTTTACCACAAAATTTGAAAACTATCACGGATGTAAAGAGGTTTAGAACTTCAGTCATTAAATTTCTGAAAAATCAATGTTTTTACTTATTCAACTGTTGGTTGTAATAATACTATTTATTTTAAATGTATAGTACCTATTTCATTGGTGTGATTTATGTGAAGGTTGATTCTAACATGTACTAATGATGTATTTTTAATTCAAATGTTCTGATGAAATGTGGAGGTAAAATTCTACAGGGTGTTTCAAAAGAACCTAACCCCCTTGCTGGGGTAGGTAAAACATTGCAAAATAAGTTGGATTTGCTCAGTGAAAAAATGCCGTAACGACATCCGTTTTCATGATACAAGGTGTTGAAAAAATTATTTTTTTTCACATTTCTCACGATTATTCCGAAACTACTGGCAACATTTTAATGAAATTTTGTATGGATGTTTCTTGATATCTGACACATCGCATGAATTTGTTTTTATATCTGACTCTCATAGAGGGTGCTCGTTACACGGTTCGTACCGAGTAGTTTTGAACATAACTTTTTTTTTTTGAGGTTAGATTTTTCAATCCAAATATGATATGAACTTGAACATCATTCAATTTTACACCAAAAAGGTACTCTTGTTGAAACTTGATACTATGTTCCGTTTTCGGAATATTTCGATTTGAAAATAATGGAGTAGTAATGATGCTGGTATAAAATGAATTTTATTGAGGTCAATTACCTATTTATTCAGGTTCAAAAACAATAAAATTATTCTTGTGCTGAAGTTATTTATGGAACAAAGAATCATAAGTAGGAAATTAAGAGATATTTGACTAGAAACATGAAATATTGAATCAGTTAGAGTAAGTGTTCAAAATGTCCTACGTTTCGAGGAATACACGATTCTATGTTCTTTTTTTAAGAATGTATTATTCTTCTGAGCAGTTGAGGATCAGCTGTTAGGTCATTTAAGTGATGTTCGATTATGTCTCACAACTCTTGACGTGAATTTACCTATGTAGCATAGACTTTTTGCTCAAGATACAACAAGACTGTGTAATGCATGTTCTTAGTCAAATCTGTTTCGATGTTATTCTTGTGATTTATTGTTGAATCAATGAGTTTTTCATCAGAAATGTATTGTTGTTTTCGGTTTTCAATAAAGAGGTGATCATTTTTCACAATACTCACTCTAATACATAGCTTTATACCAGCAACAGTTACCACTTCATCATTTTCAAATCGAAATATTCCGAAAACGGAACACAGTATCGAGTTTTACCAAGAGTACCTTTTTGGTGTGAAATTGAAAAATGTTCAAGTTCACATCAAATTTGGATTGAGAAATCTAACCTCAAAAAAGTTATGTTCAAATATACTCGGTACGAACCGTGTAACGAGCGCCCTCTATGAGAGTCAGATATAAAAACAAAGGCATGCGATGTGTCAGATTCCAAGAAACATCCATACAAAATTTCATCACAATGTTTCAACATAATCGTAAAAAATGTGTAAAAAAAATATTGTTTCAACACTTTGTATCTTGAAAACGGATGGCGTTACGACAATTTTTTACTGAGCAAACCCAACTTATTTTGCAGTGTTCTACCTACCCTAGCAAGGGGGTTAGGTTTTTTTGAAACACCCTGTATAACATGTAGGAAATTATGTATTTAGAAATGTAATTTTAAACCGATGATGTGAATGCGACAGGTAGCTAAGATTGTTCTGTAACCCCTGACGTTTGCTGTGTCCATGTTGATCGTTTTCGCAATAAAGAGATTATTATTAATAGCATTGCTTGCTCAAGATCCTCGTTCGTTACAGGCTGTTCGAGGGCAAGTTCTTCTTCGTCACTCCCAGCGTCTGTCCCAGCAAGAGAATCGTCGCCGACTTGATTCGATGCTCGGGCGGCATAGTCGAGAAGCACCGAAGGAGCTCGACGCAAATCGAGGCCACCGCGATCAACTCGCCCTTCAGCTACTTCATCGTCACTCACGAGGACGATTTGCATCTGGTCGCCGATTTGTTGAGGAACAAGAAGGACAAGATGCGGATAGTGTGCAATGCGGAGCTGATTTTCAGCTCCATCTTGAGGCAAACGTTCGAAACGGAGCCGTATGCCGTGTGCGTTTTATGATCGTATGAGAGTGAATGAATATGTTTGTAGATGTAAGTACGAAAAACCGGGCACTTGAAATGATTGTAACTTGACCAGAGGCGATGGGATTTCCATAAGTCACACAGTAACTTCTTCCGGGTATGAACGATTATTGACTTGCTTAACTACAAAACTCACTGATAGAATTGGCCCTTTTACAGTCTTGGGATATTTACCATTTCGGGTGGTACATGCCTTCCTTCCCACACTTCCTCCTCTCGTTCCATTTCGGATTTGATTGTAATCCAATATGGCGGACTTCCGTTTTTTCTGGAAAGGCTCTGTAGCAGAATAGCGTCAGTCGAAATAGCGCTACGAAATAGCGCTAGGTTAAAATAGCGTTAGTCAAAATAGCGCTGGACAAAATAGCGCCGCACAAAAATAACGCAGAACAAAAACAGCGGCGGACAAAATGGCGTCGGTTCAAATAGCACTGCGACTAAATAACGCCGGGTAAAATATTCCTAGAAAATCAACTATTGGAATAGGACGTGATTGAAAAATCAAGTTTTCGAAATCAATTTTAATACAAAACAAAGTTTTTAACCAATTACAAAAAAAATTACATGGACAAATTATGAGCCACAGATTGTAAATACTGTTCAACGTAATTGAAAGCATACGTTTGAACCAAGGTTTTCAACCTGTTTTTTAGCTGGACGTATTTATTGTTAGGACTTCCTTTTTTCCTAAATCCTGAACGGTATCTTGTAACGAAGATTTCTGAAGACTTTTGTTCCTTTTTCAATTGATTGATCAATTTGTATACATGAGGACGCTGGCAGTTTAGACCTTTCTGTAAGGAATTGTGCCATGCTTCAAGGGAATTATTTGTTTTTGGCAAACCGTTTTTCACCCGCTCATATTGATTCCATAAATTTATACTGAATCGAGGGTTGATATTATGAATCCTCTTACCAACGTAATTATCTTCCCAATAGTCGATCACCGGCATTAGTTCATCAGGAAAGTTTTCACGAATGATTTCCAGTGCGAACTACACATCTTTTTCTAGGATATAACTGAGAGCAAGAAGCATCTTACATTTTGTTCTTATGTTTTCGTTGTCTCTGTATAGGTTCGTTAATTGAAAATGTTTCATTTTCCTCCATAAGTTCTGCGCCAGATGAAACGAACAACCGACAATACGCGTGTTGGAGAATACTTTTTTCACTGCGTTGATAGACGATTGTTCAAAATCAACAAGTATAGTTTCAGGCTTCAGTTCAGCATCTAAGATTTTTAGGGTATTAAACACTTGAACGTAAACACCATCTGATTCATTTGGCAACAGAGCATATACTAGTGGTACAGCTTTCGAGTCAATTAATGCATGTAAAACGAATAATTGACAAAACAAAGTTGGACAGGTCTTGAAGGTTTCGTCTATTGCCCAGTGCGGAAATTCTTTGAGCAAATCGAGATTATTGTAGGTCCCGAAAATCAGAAGTCTATTCCGGTTTTCTTTCCCTGAATCCCACAGTAAGAAAACTTCACCTCTGTCCGTTTTAGAATACTTGTCGTCCATTCTCCCTTCAGAAATATTGTTAAATACTGAAGAACTTAAAAATTCCTTGTTTCTTATTCTTTGCACTGTTATGCGTGATGCCTCATAGCTTGGAAGACTAACAGCCACTTCTTCCGAAATTACACTGCTGCAAGCTTGTTGTATGATTTCTCTTGGATTTGCATCCGTTTTAGAACATCGCCATGTGCTGTGACCTTCACGTTGCTTGTCCTTTCGGTAATTATACCCTTCGTGGAATAATGTACCTCCTTTCTGAGACGTGCCGAATTGCATTTTTTATGACTTCAAATAAATATGACACTGACAACTAGTTGTTTCCATGCTTTTGTGAATCTATAAAATATTGTTACTTTGTACTTCAATGGGCTTATATCACAAAAAAATTTTATTTCATAATTCGATAGAACTCACCCAAACTAGCTCACCACCGCAAACCGTTTCTTGCTGTGAGCTCCCTACGTTTTATAAAAAATTATTGAAATCCCCGATTTTCCGGACCTCTGAAAACGAGGCGATGATGTGACATCAAAACCCTAATACTGAAACAAGACTATTCCAGACAGAGATGAATGATACATGATTTCTGACAAATCAATTCTAACCTAGATTGACTTTTTGCAGCTCCATGTGAAACGGGTCAACAAAGCAATGTTGCTATGTTTATGAAATATATTGGATTATTGTGAAATTGTAATGGTGCAAATGGTTTTGAGATTGAGACATTTCGTTGTCTAGAGATTGTTTATACTCCAATGATTCAACCTACAATCGACAACTCGAATATATTTTTCTGCAGTAGTGGTAGTGGATATCAAAAGATATTTCAATATCGATTTCGATTTCTCGGATATTTTGTTTGGATGATATGGCAACAGTAATAAGTGTCAGGAGAGTGTCAGTTTCAACCATATATCTACTATTTCTATATATGGCGCATCGCCTATACGATATCTAAACAAAAATGGGACCAAAATGAGAGGTACTCTTTGAATCTATGAGAACGAAAAGTGAAGGATGGAAACAGCCATATTGGTTTGACAAATTTCCTATTATTTTTTCCCTACGTCGGTATCAACGCCTATTGGTCGATTTCATTACCTATAGAGACAGAAATGGGTCCCGCTTTGAGGAAAGCTATGATTCATATATCAGTAGTAGATATATATGGTTTATATATATATATGGCGAGATGGGGTTTCTACGTCATGAGAGGGACTCCGTTTTCAGAAGGTACTATCATTTATGTCCAAAAATAAAACATTCCAGTTAATTTTTCGATCGAATGATGTCGTCAATCATTATTTATGTATAAAAGGATCATTATAAACATGGTTTGAGTTAAAAGTTCTACTAAGGTGTACACGCCCATTATTCGACATTGTTCAATTTATTGATAAATCCTCATAATAAACAGTTTATTGTCGTGATAATGCACCGAGGAAAAATTCCTAATTTTTATGTCATGTCGCTATTTTGTCCAGTGCTATTTCGTCCACCGCCGTTTTTGATCTGCGTTATTTTTGTGCGGCGCTGTTTTGTCCAGCGCTATTTTGTCGCAGCGCTATTTTTGAAGCGCTATTTTGACTGACGCTATTCTGCTACAGAGCCTCTGGAAATGCCAGCAACTTCATTTTTTCAAATGGAACACCCTGTATATTTATACATATTCCAGTTCAACAGAAAGATAGTGAGAAATAAAGAAAGATTGAGGTCAGAGTGGCTTTAAGTGGAAAAAGATGATTTTTAGCTACTGCACGCGCGCACACTTAAGGTGGATTTATGCAGCAACATTTAACAATTATCAAGTAACATTTATCATTTACCAAGTATCAATTGAAAGTTAAAGTTCCTGTTTTTAATGAGAGTGTTTTATGCAGAAATTCAACAATTATTATCAAGTAACAAGTAAGAAGTTGTCCAACTTTTAACTTTCTTGAGGTGGATTTATGCAGCAACATTTAACAATTATCAAGTAACATTTATCAATTAACAACTATCAATTAATAAGTGATGAGAATATTGACATTTATCCATACCAAATCAACAATTAATAAAAAAGTAGTACGCAAGCGCACATGCCCTAAATCAAGGAAATCAAAGACATAACCTTAAAAATTCGTTGTTTACAATCTACATAAGGAGCTAAAATTTCAAATTTCAAAATGTTTTCTGATCTGGAAGAGACTGGGTTACTTGCAATCACAATTATTTTGTTGAGTGCGATTGTTTTATGTTAAAACAAATTTTAAAACATCTGTCAGATATCAGGTCTGGCATTGGGCTGACCAATCCATCGATGGTTAAAGTGCAAAACATCGTAAGTCGATTTTAGTCAATTTTACAGGAGACGCGAAAAACAGTCAAATTCTTTAGTTGAGAAATTTGAGAAGATTTTCCAATAAAGATAATATGATATGCCCAAGCATATTCTGGTGATATAAGTACTTTATTGAAATTTTGGTTGATTGAAAATAATCTACTTACGAGTTTTTGACTTATGATTTTCAAACTTTTCGAAAAAACTTATGAGGTTTTGTAACGAAATAATAAGTTTCAAAAACGAAAATCGAATTGTTGAAAATGATAATGAAAAAGGTTGGTTGAATATATAAAACAACGTACTTTACCAAAGGTGTTTATTCAGAAATTACGAAAAAATACAAATTTTTCCTGAGTAGGTATGCAACAAAATCCTATAGTTTTGATTTTATTAAACGAACAATCCTTCTCATGTTTTATGAAACTGATCTTATGATATCATTATTTTTCTTGACTGATGGGACCGTCATAAAATGATCTATAGTCCTCCGGAATAAACTTCTTCAATTCCTGGAGATGTTGGAACTTATCAGGTTTTATTTTCAACGGATTAGTATACAAAGATGTAACAGTGATATCCATGTCTTGATTTTTTTGCCTACACCTTGGCCTTGTAAGTTGAATCCAAGCGTCTTCATAGTTTATTTTGAATTCAATGGTGCCCATCAACCCGATATGCTAAGCATCTTGGATCGGTTACTTTTGGATCATGAGTCTTATTGCCGGGACGAATAGAAGTATAGGAGTTCAACACAGAATATTTTTTGAAAAAAGTGTAATGCCCCCAACTTTCTTCGTTCGTTGGCCTACTACAGGGGGTCGTTACAAAGTAAGTTTTCCTCGATCAATGGGTTCGTTGATTATTGAGGCAGGAGGCAGACTGAGATTGTAGACAATAAGACAACATATATATAGTTACTGAGACATATTATATTCAGGCAGTATGGTCAAACAGAGGTTACAGGCAACAAAATCAAAGTTTGCTTACATTTTAGATTGCACATTTTTGTTACACTGTTCACTTGTTTTTTAATTGGCGAGAGATTCACTTCACTTTTACGTCTTAGTCACAAAAGTTGCAGTTTAGCATAGATCTACCTGAGTGGTTACCCACACAGGTATTATTAACGAA